TAGATAGATAGATAGATAGATAGATAGATAGATAGATAGATAGATAGATAGATAGATAGATAGATAGATAGATAGATAGATAGATAGATAGATAGATAGATAGATAGATAGTTAGTTAGTTAGTTAGTTAGTTAGATAGATAGATAGATAGATAGATAGATAGATAGATAGATAGATAGATAGATAGATAGATAGATAGATAGATAGATAGATAGATAGATAGATAGATAGATAGATAGATAGATAGATAGATAGATAGATAGATAGATAAATAGACAGACAGATAGATAGATAGATAGATAGATAGATAGATAGATAGATAGATAGATAGATAGATAGATAGATAGATAGATAGATAGATAGATAGATAGATAGATAGATAGATAGATAGATAGATAGATAGATAGATAGATAGATAGATAGATAGATAGATAGATAGATAGATAGATAAATAGACAGACAGATAGATAGATAGATAGATAGATAGATAGATAGATAGATAGATAGATAGATAGATAGATAGATAGATAGATAGATAGATAGATAGATAGATAGATATATAGATAGTTACTGATATAGAAAATTCAAAACTATTAACTCGCCAATTTTCTTTTCCCGCCATCTGGTACCTTTGCAAAATTAATGCAATTACCTAAAAAGTGATGCCAACTTAATATAACAAAAATAAAAATCGTTGAATGTTTTCTTTTCGATTACTTTAAACTTTATGAACTATTTTTAAACCTATTTCTCTCAACCGCAATCAATGGTTAAAATTATGGTTTTATTTATATATATAATTTTTCTTATCGCTGCAAAATGCCAACCAACTGAACACTAAATACATAAAAAATAAAAAAATGGATGCAGTTTTTTTATTTTTTCTTAAAATACTTTAAAAAAGCAAATAAAATTATTTGTTATTTTTAAAACTTTATCATCATATAATAACACTTTAATTACATATAATGGCACAAACAAACAATTGCAATGAAATGAAACAGAGATAGCTAAGTGTATTAAAAAAGTATAATTAAAGGAATTAAAACACGCTAAATTGGCAATATTCTTTTTTTTATAACAAATTACATACTTTTTTTTCTTTAATTCCTAACAAAATCTCGTCATAAATTTATTGAAAACTTTTTATTAAAATTAAAAAAAAATAAAAATTTCTTCTATATTTTCGCTTAAAATCACCCAATTTTTTTATTACCTTGCATCTGGTAGCGTTCTCAATGTATTTGCTCTTTTGAACATCTGGTAGCTTTAACTAGTGAGAGGCTTACATCTAAGCAGTGTTGCTAACTTTAAATATCTCAAATACACCAAGCAATTAAAACAAACAAAGATAAAACTTTAAATATTAGATAATTTTTATTTAAAACACTATTTTTTATTCGAAATAAAACATGAGCATTTGGATTTGTTAAATTTTGAACAATTTTAAAGCCGCTAAATTTGCATTACTTAAACGTAAGTGCAATTATAAATGAACTGAAATAAAATTAAATATAAATTAAATAAAAACGAATAATACTATAAGTATGTATTATTATTATAAAAAAAACAGTCAACAAGGCAAACAACATCACTGATAAAAGCCTTGAGAGGGGTACAACAACAACAATGTATAAATATGAGAGTTTTTATTTATTTAATTTAATTTTTTTCTTACTACATAATTAAACAGATTTTTATTTTCTTTCTAATAGAAAACGAATATTAAAGGTCTTAAATTGTAAAGAAAAAATGAGGGGGGGGTCAGGAGACTCTTACAAGTGTGGCAAGGGAATTTGACTTTATGAATTCTAATTTATACCTCACAAACTTAAGCTTTATTAATTAATTGTTTGTTTTCTAATATTAATTATTTATACCCTAATATTTACAAGGACTTTATAAAGGATTTCTTTATTTAGCTAATTAGTTTATTTAAGATTTTTTTTATTTATTTATACAATTAATGGAAATTGTTTTCTAAATAAATTACAATTAATAACGCTATAGCTATTTAATTCAAAAAAATATGTAAAAATTATTGCATATTTTTAGGCAATTAAACTTAAAGCTAACATTAAACGAAAAACTTGTTTTTCCCCTAGGGATTTGCAACATTTCAAATAAACATTTGACTGCTAAACCTAAACTTTTCCCACAAGTATTTTATTTATTTCTTTAGATCCCTAGAGCATAATATTTCTTTTGTAATTAAGCCTACAAATTGTCCTTTATTTTTCTTTTTTTTCTAAAAACGCATTAATTTTTCAAGAGATTTTTATTCATGTTAATATTAGACATATAATTTTTTCATCTTAACAATAAAATTGAGAAGGTCAGTTGGAAGGCAACCACAAAAACCAAAAAAAATTGTATTAAACTTCCACTCACTCTCTCTCTCTCTCTCTCTGTATCTCTCTTTTAACATATTCTACTACATTTAAAAAAATCTAGTAGACATATACTTAGTTATAAAAACTTATCCTTAAAATATACAGAAATACCAAAAATATTCTACTTAACACGTGCCCCTATGCACATGCTTTATAACAAACAATTCTCGTGAACACCCTAAATGTAGGCTACAGATAAATGAGTACTAAAGTAATAGTAGTATTGGGAAAAAAATTCTGTATGTATACTAAATTCGCAGAAAATGAAAATATATGAAAATATATGTTCAATGAATGAATGTTTTTTTCTGGGGGAGTGTATCTAGGGGGGTTTTTTTATAGTACAAGTGAAAGTAAAGTTAAATCGTTCGGTTTTTGTTAAAAACGAGTTTATTATTCATATGTATATGTATCTCGTGTTTGTGGCCTATGACGCAAATGTTTGACTTTAGGTATGATGTTTTTTCTTAATTTTTCTTTGTTTTGTGAGACTTATTTTGTAATCTGTATGTTAATTTTTCTGATTAGAAATTCGTTTCTTTTATTTTAGATTTAATTTATACAGAGGATGTGAAGTTTTTTTTATATATATAGCTAACCTTAATGTATGCAAAAAATACTGACTGATTACAGTCTGTACACTTACTTAATACTTACACTTACTTACTACTTACTTACTTACTACTTACTTACTTACTTACTTACTTACACTTACTTACTTACTTACTACGACGGACGGACGGAACGGACGGACGAGGACGGAGACGGACGGACGGACGAGGACGGACGGACGGACGGACGACGGACGGACGGACGACGACGACGGACGGACGGAGGACGGACGGACGGACGGACGGACGGACGGACGGACGGACGGACGGACGACGGACGGACGGACGGACGGAACGACGGACGGACGGACGGACGAGGACGGACGGACGGACGGACGGACGGACGGACGGACGGACGGACGGACGGACGGACGGGACGGACGGACGGCGCCGACGGACGGACGGACGGACGGACGTACGGACTGACGGACGGACGACGGACGGACGGAGACGGACGGACGGACGGAGGACGGGACGGACGGACGGACTGACGGGACGGACGGACGGAGGACGGACGGACGGACGGACGGACGACGACGGACGGAGGACGGACGGACGGACGGACGGACGGACGGAGGGACGGACGACGACGGACGGACGGACGGACGGACGGACGGACGGACGGACGACGACGGACGGACGACGACGGACGGACGGACGGACGGACGGACGGACGACGGACGGACGGACGGACGACGGACGGGACGGACGGACGGACGGACGGACGGACGGACGGACGGACGGACGGACGGACGGACGGACGACGGACGGACGGACGGACGGACGACGGACGGACGGACGGACGGACGGACGGACGGACGGAGGACGGACGGGACGGACGGACGGACGGACGGACGGACGGACGGACGGAAGGACGGACGGACGGACGGACGGACGGACGGACGGACGGACGGACGGACGGACGGACGGACGGACGGACGGACGGACGGACGGACGGACGGACGGACGGACGGACGGACGGACGGACGGACGGACGGACGACGGACGGACGGACGGACGGACGGACGGACGGACGGACGGACGGACGGACGGACGGACGACGGACGGACGGACGGACGGACGGACGGACGGACGGACGGACGGACGGACGGACGGACGGACGACGGACGGACGGACGGACGGACGGACGGACGGACGACGGACGGACGGACGGACGGACGGACGGACGGACGGACGGACGGACGGACGGACGGACGGACGACGGACGGACGGACGGACGGACGGACGGACGGACGGACGACGGACGGACGGGACGACGGACGGACGGACGACGGACGGACGGACGGACGGACGGACGGACGGACGGACGGACGGACGGAAGGACGGACGGACGTACGGACGGACTGACGGACGTACGGACGTACGGACTGACGTGACGACGGACGGACGGACGACGGACGGACGGACTTACGGACGTACTGACGACTACTGACGGACTTACTTACTTACTGACTTACCTTACTCTACTACTTACTGACTTACTACTTACTACTTACTTACTTACTTACTTACTTACTACTTACTTACTTACTTACTTACTTAAATCTTTTAAATTTAAAGCAAACGCCATCTCTGTTTAATGTTAAACTTTATCAATAAAAGCAAATTATTTAAAATGTGCTGGTGGTGGCTGACGATGATGACTTAATTGAAAACAATTTGTTAAATTTCTATATAGAATTATTTTAATAATTCTTTTACTGATTGCTTATTCACATTATGTTTAAATACACATTTTGTTCTTTTTATTTTTTTTTTTTTTTTTGAGTTATTCTACAAAAACAATAGCAATGTTTGTAGCATTGACGTTTCATTTTACTAGACTAGACAATGCTAAAATTAAAAAATTTAAATAAATTAAACAAAAAATAACAAAAACAACCGGCAAAAATATAAATTTGATAAATAATACACACATGTAGTATAAATTATATATAACATGAGCACACAACAAATAACTTTGACTTATTTACAGGCCGTTCAACTGTCGTCATATACAACAATTTATTGCATTATTATTGCAGTGTACTGCAACAAGCATGTTATTATTGTTGTTGGTTTTTCACTGCAATAACGAAGGTGGTTTGTGTGAATAAGTCTATGGTTTCTCCCTCTTTCCCCCTTAAAACACCCACATACAATTACAATAAGTATAGCTGCTGCTTGAGATAGTAAAATAATAACAACAACAATTAAACACCATAAATGTAAATAAAAAGACTTGAAATATAAAAAACAATTACAGTGTTGCATTTTGGCAATAAAATAAAAACAAACCAAAAGAAAACAAATTAGCAGTTATTTACCAAAATTAAAGCCAAACATATATGTACCTCAATAATAAAATGAAAACAAAAGCTCTCTTGAATTTATAATAAAAAGAGAACGAGAGAGAACTACTAGTGATAGGTCAATTTCACACATAGTGTGAGTGTTTGTTTAACAAATAGAATTTTAATTTTGTAAACAGGAGAATAACAAAGTGTGATACTTTAATATCCACTAGAGAGTGAATGTGTATGTCTAGTTTTGTAAACAAGTGTAGAAAAAGTGAGAGAAAAAAAAAACAATTTCTTATAAGGCAAATGTATTGAAAAAGCAATTGTCATTTTAGTATTGATACAGCTGTTAGAGGCAGCTTTCACACACAATATTTCTTCCAAAAAAATAACGAAAATTATTAAATAATAAAAAAAGTTATAATAAATAAAAAGCAAAAACAATGTGACTTTAAAGTTGTAAAGTATTTATACAGAAAAAAACTGAAGTGTCTTAAATATTTTAACTAAAGTGTTAACAAAAAGAAAACTAAAAACAAAAATTAATTTTTTAACAAAAAAACTCACAAACCAAGTGCTTAATATTATAATATAAACAAAAAAAACTAAACTACCAATATGCATGGCATAACACATTTATATCGCCAGCATGCCATAGAAAAGCAGCTGAGCGCTGACTGCTGGCAAAACGGTGGCGGTGGTATTGGTGCCGATTCCAGCAGTCACCATCATCAAAATACAACTTCCTATGGCCGCAGTTATGTACGTGATAATGTTAGCATGAATTCTACCTCGGAATATGGTTCTCTAAAAGGAACCAGCCGTTTGAGCAGCATAGATTCTAGTTCTAGCTCTAGTTCCTCATCAAATTCAAAATCACCCAATTGGTCTCAGGGTAAGTTTGTGTTTGTTGTTGGAGTTTAGTGGAAAGAAAACGTTGTCACAGAAGAGTGTTTAAAGGATTTAATGGATACAAATCAAATATTAAAATGAATTGCAAACAATTTGACTAAGAAAAAGTAAAAACAATCTTTTCAAGCAGGGATGGGAAATTTAGTGCTATTGTACATCGAACGTTATTTGTTTCAAGTCATGAATAAACTAAAAATTGTTAAAAAAAAGTATGCAAATGTGTCTGATCTACAGCACAGTCTAAAATTGGGTTTATATTCTAGTCAATTATATAGTCCGGTCTATAGTCTACCTTATTGTCTAGTATATAGTTCAGTCTATAGTCTAGTCTATATTCAAGTTTATAGACTAGTCCATAGTCTAGTCTATAGTCTGGTCTATAGTCAAATATATAGTCTAGTCTATAGGCTAGTCCATAATGTATCAGAAATGAAGAAGTATCTGGCAAAATACATACATACATACAAATACAAGAAAAACACAAAGATAATTTTCATGAAAAAAGAACATTTATATTTTTACAATAATTTTTTAAACATCAAGAACAATTCGCGTCCCTCCTTTAAACACGCTCCTTAAGACAGCAAAATCCCCCAAAAGACCGTCTTCCATCTCTATAACTCCAACTCTCCCCTTCCATAGACAAAGTAATTGAAAGTTTGGTTAATGCCTCAAGTCCACAACCGGTGCCGGACACCCAAAAGTCGATAACAAATCATTATCGTAATTCACCCACCCACAATGGGGCACGCAGTTCCTATGACAGCTATGGCAGCAGTTTCAAGCGAACACCTTCCTCGAAACGCAGCATTTTTGAAAGATCACACAGTCCCGCCGTTTATGGTGTAAGTAAAAAAAAGCTAAATAAATTCAAATAAATAAAAATCAATAAACATGAATCAATTCTCAGAGTCTACGCAAACCAAATCTACAGGATTTTAATAATTCACCACCCAGCCAAGGTGGTTACTTCCCACACGATCTTGACGACATCTATGAAAGTAAACAGGATCATCAGTATTTCACCTATTCGGGGCACTCAACACAGCGTCAAGAACGACCCAGCATTAATTCAATATTTCATCGTGTGGGTGCCGCGCCCGCCTCTCTTGATGAGTACTCCAGTAGTCCCATGAGACATTCTCTAGATAGTGGCTGCGTGAATATACCACGCTATCGTTTCGATAATACTAGTTTTGTTAAATCTCTAAGTATTAATGAAGATGAAACCTCCTCACCCAAGGATCACAAACATAAGCACAAGGATAAGCATGAGCATCATGGTCACCATGGTCATCATCATTCAATACAGGAATTACTTAAACATTTTGGTAAAAAGGTGCACATTTGGCCACGTAAATCTCATGATAATACAGCGAGTAGTGTTTGTACTTCACCACAAAATGATCCTCAGGAAAATTTTCGTTCAAGATCGAAAAGTTTAGATGTCAATACGATTAATAGACCCAATCGAATTTTAGAAGATTGTGGTGCCACCTATAAGATATTCGATAAAATTGTAAAAGAAGGTAATTCAAAGGGTAAGGGGATTTTGTTAATAATAACTTGTTGTTGTTTGTAGTAGTATTCAAAATTTTTCATGTTTTGGTACTTGCACATTTTAATTTTTTCCCCCGTTTTATTAATAATTTTAATAGTTGTAAAAATAATTTGTATTTGCAAGTGTTTTTAATGGAAAATTTTGTATGAATTTTTCTTTGCGTTTAGGTGCTCATATGCGTCGTGCTTCAGCTGATTTGGAAAAACGACGTGCTTCAGTTGGTGCTGCCAGTCGGGGATTACGTGGTGATGGTACTTTAGATCCACATCATGCCGCAATATTATTTAGAGATTCAAGAGGGGTAAGTTTTCATATTTTTTTATATATTTTTAAGTGAAGTGAATAGAAAAGGTTTCGGGAATATTATTTTGATATAATTTACTAATTTTGTACTCGGGTTAAAATGTTTCCATTGAAGAAATCGTGGAAATTCTGTTAAGGCAGAAAGTCTTTCAATATTGATCTTTAATTACACATAATTATTGACGAATTAAATTTTCTTACGTCTTTGTTAGTCCTTATAATGTTCGAAGAGAGCACGGTTCTAAAACATTAATTAAGGATATTACTGGAAGGATTTAAATTTGCCTCCTGAGGTAAATGAAGATTGCCTACTCATCTTAAAACTGAGTAATTCCAAATGTAGAGCGATCGACGGAATGATTTTAAAGTATTCGACTGTTAGTTGTCGACCATAGAGCTGGGTTCATACTTCTCTTCCCAAATCATAAATTAAATTAAGTTCCTGGAGTAGTGAAATCTATAAATTTACTTAATCCAAAGTCGAGCTTCCTTTAATGACGATTTAGCTATTTCTATAGTTTTCTCAAGCTGGAGATAAAAGATCATTTCGAACAATCTGGAAAACTATAATATGAAGTGATTTATTCAATCAAAATTAGATTTATATTTGAAAGATAATACCAACTGTTGAAGTTAAATATTTGTTTCCTTAGTATCCGAGGGAACGCACTTTTCAAACCGAACATTAACCAGAGTTTAGACGAATCACAATTCTTTTACTCTGATCATTTCACTAAGAATTGTTGCGAATTTAGTATTAAATCTATGAGCGGATTGTACCGAAATTTTAATAAGAATTCATGTGTCTTCATACAGATGTGATTTTCTCTTGTATGGTGATGTATTATAATTTTCCTAAAATCTTCCTTCCCGAACAAACCAAAGAACTAGACTAGTTGTCAACTGCATTTCATTAAAGTTATTTCCAAGGAAAGGACTCTATCGACAGCTACAAATTTGATCATCTCACTGAGAACAGCTCGAACTCGAAAGTTATTTCCAAGAGAAGGACTCTATCGACAGCTACAAATTTAATCATCTCATTGAGATCATCTCATCGATACGGAATCATAACAATAGAAACCAAGATGCCAATTACCACCTTATTTTCCAAATTTAAATTTCATTGGGATGCCAAGTGGTTGACTTATTTGTGGTACTCGCCATAAAATTGTTTATAAACTAGACATCCTGGATAACTGTAAAGTAAAAATTAAAAGCATCAATCAATTGACAAACTAATTAATCAATAAGAAAGAACTATTCGTTTTGTGAGTTTAAATTCCATAAATTATTTCGGACATTGTAGATGTTCTGACATTTAGGACATCGTAGATGTTCTGTTGCAGATTCACAGTCGATAAAATTCGATAAAATTCCTTCTTTGGCCGATCGTGTCTCCTCGAGTTGAAGTTTTGTATTCCTTTTTAGTGACAAACTCTGTAGTTTTATGTCGAAGTCATCATTTACTTCTTTACACAAACGTTCGTATGTAAATGAAACCCTAGACATCCAAGCCAGATGGAATAGACCAGCTTTATGGGAGTACGAACTTTTTAACGCTACGTTTGATGAATTACACTTTCAAAATTGTGTGTAGGTTTAGGTCAGAAGAACTCTAACCGTCAGTTTGATTTCGAGTACTGCTGGATTACAGTATATAAGCCCTCAATTGAAGAAAACGCTTGGGATGTATTAAAGTCCATATTTTATATAAAATCTGATCATCCTGACATCCTGGATTAATGACGAAATAGTTTTCACTTGAGATGTATTGAATTTCTGATGCTAAACGAGTTCGGAAGCTGAGCAACACTCAAAGTATGGTTGAAATCCTAGAAATTCCAATTCATCGAGCAGACATATGGAAGATCTGTAAAAACAGTCTATTAAAACATGATACTACTTCTTCAATTGTATTACCATTTCATAAAATTATTGTAGACAATTTTAAAGACCACCAATGCCAAAACGACCTCACGGCATTATAGAGAATTTCAGATAATTCCAGCCATTAATAAGACATTCTTACTCCTATAGAGTTATTTCCATTTCATACAATCTTTGGAGCCAGGTTTAGCTACTAAGTAGAATCTAAGACTTCTTAGCATTAAGGGACATTTCTGAAAGATTTCAATCATAAAGTAGAAATTGTGAGAATTTCCGCTATGGATTAAACTTTCTGGAAATCTGCAAAAATAATATATCGAATCACTACTGCTGCAACTTCGTATTTCATGGTGTTTGCAAAGTTCAGAGATTAAGTAGAATCTAAGACATCTTATTGATAGCAGAGTTAGATGAATTTTCCTAGAAATCTGCAAAAAATAATAGATAAATCTTTGCTGCTACTTCTTAAAATGGCTTACCATTTCATAGTGTCTATAGTGACCAATTCATAGATAAAGACATCTTGTAAGACTGCAGAAAAAGGTGATTTCCAGTTATGAAGAATATATCCAGTAAATAACATCAATCCTTATTCTTACGACTTTGGATGAATGACCATTTTATAGCTTTTTATTAAACGCCAAAGACATCGGAGATTAAGTAGAAATCCTCTGAATTTCGTCCTACGTATACTCATTATAAGTTGTTTAAACTGTATAACTTCCGTATAAAGCCACTTTGGAAACGATTAGAATTTTAGTAGATATTCCGTAAATCGGGGGAGTTGCTCTGTACCTCGATTCAAATGTAAGTTTTCTTTTCGAATCGAAGTAGAGAGTAACCCCCTTGTAAGTTGACACTTTGGTACGTAGTACACAGTTTTTATATCTTAGACATTTTGAAGCAAGTGCAAAATGCAAGAATATCCAGTTCACATTATAGCTTTTCTTAACTTCAATCTCACTATTTGAAAATAACTGAAGATTTGAAGTTTGTTCAGAGCCAAGTTATTAATATAAGGGACCTCTTGGACATAGTGGTAGCAATTATAATTCCTTGGAAATTCAATCATCAAATGGTTATTCTGGAAATCGGCAATGAATCATCTTCACCGCTTCCTCGTTGGAATTGTATTCAGAATCTTTGCAACATCTAAGTAAGTCAATTTTGAAAATAGTGGTAATCGTTGTAACCAGTAGAAATCCTTGGAAGTTCAGTTATCAATTAAGGATTCTGGAAATCGGTAGCTAATGAAGTTTCTGTCAGACCTTAGTAGCAAAGAGTTGAAGTTTTGTACCATCATTAGAATAATATGCGGAATCTAAGTAAGCCTTCTGGATTTTCTGGACTTTGTCTTCATTTCTGAGTATCGCTCTTGCTGATGAATATAAGTTTCGTAGCTTTATAGAAATTAGATGTAGAATCTTAGTGACAACTAAGTTATTCTACACTCTAATAAAAATCCATTGAATTACATTATGAATTCCATAACAATATTCCACGTTATCGATACTTCAGATGAGTTGACGCTTTAAAGGTCCTTTGGAGTAGAGTTCAGACATCAAGATAATCCAGGAGCAAATAGAAATCCTGATTACTTCAGGACATACGGAACGTCTCTCTCACCACTTTAAATCAATAGTAATGCTTCATAACATAGTAATATGCTGAAAGGAACTATAAATCCTGGAAACCTCCAGTATTTTCTGAAAATTAGTAAATATCTAAAGTAGAAGTAAAGAGGAAAATATTCCTCGTCACTGCTACTTCAATACATATTCATAACTCTTTTCAAATTGAGTTTAGAGACTTTAGACCTCTGAACTCGTAGTAGAAATTAGAAACATCTCTGAGAATTCGAAGCAACCGTAGAGGGTTACAGTATTGTAGTATATTAGTAAATATCTGAAAGTAGGAGTAATGAGGAAAATATAATTTCTCGTTACTACTACTTCAATACAGATTCATAACCCTTTTGAAGTTGAGTTTAGAGACTTTAGACCTCTGAACTCCTAGTAGAAACTTCGCTGAGAATCCACAGGCAACCGTGTGGAGGGATCCATTATTGTGCGAAAAGTATGTAAAAATCCATAGTATATCGGTTATCGAATACATCAATTTTGGCGTCTCAGCATTAGACATCTTCGTTGTGCTTATGCAGCCTTCTTGTTCCAAATTTTCCGGAAAGCCAGTGAAATCCATAGAATTTCAATTAACGTGTAGACATCGTTGAAAACTCTTATCAAATTCATCACTCCTTGGTGCCTCTACAGGAACATATTTCAACGCATAGTTGAGTTTCTAAAGGTTTTACTGAAAAGTTTAGGGACTTGACATCAAGTCGTTATTCTGGAACTTTCTTATCAAATGCTACAATCTTCATGGTATCTTTGAAAACGTTGGCCAAATTTCTTTCATCGTACTATTAATTTGAGATCCCTCTTGCAGCCAGCACAACATCTTTCTTCATTTCAATATATTTAGTTTTTTGTGGTTCTCAAAACAGCCTGAAGCTTGAAAAAGTTGCACACAAATTTGGGAACAAATTGATGTTCCAAAATTACGGACATCTAGTCGACAGCCGGGAATTTGACAACCACACATAGTACCGCTACTATAGCAAATCTTCATGGTCCCATTGGAAACGTTCGCAGGGAAAAGTAATTTTCCCTAATCTTTATGTAGTTTCTGGTCTTCAGAAACTTCTTCAACCATTTCTTCGAAAGTTGAGCAGCAGTCGTATTATCTCTTCCTTCTCAAGCCTCATCAACACCTTGGTACGTTTCATCATCTCCAGTCTTCGTCTCTTGCCAATTAAGAAATACGTTGTCATCTTGTTGAGTGATCGCTGTACACTGATTTTCTGTTTGAATTTGAAACCTTAAGAACCTACTATGAAAATTGTCAAAGTTATGGCGAACTACCTGCTTGCAGGGACAGCTGCTTGCTTGTTCCTGCTAATTACTTAAGAACCCTTAAATACTTAAAATTAAAAGAAAACAGTCTTAGGCATTAAAATAAAATTAAGATTAAGGAAATTTCTATTAGCAGCTGTGCAAAATATGCCGATTTTTTTCTTACCTGGGTTTTAAAAAGAAAGAAAACAAT